TCTTGAAGTGCCCGTAAAAGGTGTGTTGCCCTTAGTTATTTCGGAAAGGAAAATTTCTCTACGAGCAATGCAAGTGCGGGCATAATGTTGTGTGTTCCCTTAGAAGCCATTGAATATTAAATTAAAATTCATTAAGAGAGACAAACGTACGCATTAGTTCTCTCAGCTTACGGCAAATTCTCGTTTTTTGTCTGCCATAGAATCGTCTTCAGCTTCGTTTATTTTCATTGCATTTACTTTTCCAAATGTTGTTAGTTATGATTATTTGTGAAGGTTACGAGGTAACGAGAAACCCTCGAAATTTATTATGACGTGATAATCCTAATGGTAAAACTTTAAGATTTCAATTAGTGCGGATACAAATCAATTAATTTGAGGAAAATATAAATGGCGTAGCATTTTCTTGCTTCCGAAAGGAAGCAAGTTTTATCTTTGGATTAAATGATAAATAGTTTCTTATGTAAGGCCAGTTGGACAGTCAAAAGGTTAAACTCTAGTTATTTATTTTCGCAATACCGGAAATAAACGAAAGAGATGACAACAAGCAAGCACCCAACTCTCTAACCAATAATGAGCACATTGGTTGACAAGAAAATAATGTACCAAAATTTTATATGAAGAAAATTTCTGTAAGTACACAATAGCCGGCGCATTGAAGGAGAAGATGCAACTCTGCATTAACGAAGTTTAAACTTATTTATGCAAAGTGGTCATGGAAAAGTGTGCGTATGCGGCATTAAAGCCAAATTTTGTAAGCGTTCTCGTGGTATACAGACAAGAAGGTTCGAACTTAGTGGAATAAATCAAATCTTAAATGACAATCGTTGCTAACAGACCTCCACGGATCTAATACAGATTGGTCGGAGGGTACTCTTCGACTCTACAACTGGGTGTACATTCTTGAATCACTCACCATTTACGTAAATTACACTACCTAGTTAACCTCAGTCTGCCTGAAACAGATGTAGCTTTTGTATATTTCTAGATAAACTATCAAGACATGTTTCACGTTTCACTGTAGTCAAGGAAGAAGACGTTACGTTTCTTTTCTTTGGATTATGAGTTTATATAAATCTCTTATAAAACTCTTTGTTTTATTGCTTTGCATTTTATTAATAAATCGTCTGCGCTGAATATATCGCTTTAACGTGTGTACGTAACGTAATGTTTATTGTTGCTTTCTTGCCAGCCGCCTGATCACTTCAGTTTTGCATTAAAATTTTAATTGTTTTACAGTTTGTGCGTTTCCTTGTAAGAGCCTTTGTAGTGATAGAAACTCTTTGCTCCTCTTACTTTGCATATCCGGCTTTTTACTTACTCCTACACCTCCTATGCGGACTCGCGCAGAAGATAGCTCACGAAAGTCAATTATGTCGCTCTATTTTCGCTGCCTTTGAGATGAGTGAACAAGCGTAATTATATAACTATTAACACAAATGTTTAATTAGACTGAACGCGAAATATGCAGCTGAAAAGTGGCGCTGTTATCGCTACTTGTGCTTGTGAAAAATCGGTCTTTCATGTGTAGCGTCACTAAAACAATGCGTTGTAGGCTTATGATTGGAATGTCATGAAATTGTTCGTCAGCAGTCATCCGGCTTATGTAGGGACGTGCTATATCTGTTGTCTTGCTCTTGTTCGTTCAGTTATACACGCATTTCTTTGTCGCTTGTCGTTCGAAATTTGAAAGACAATGTGGGTGACTCCGAAAGTTGAAAGCAAAATTTGGTTAATGTCTACTTATTAAGATCAAAAGTGGCGGCGATCTACCTCTCATCCTCAGAATAATTGAGTAACAAGTAATTGAGTAAAAAGGACGACGACACGAATGCATTATAGCAACTGACATACGATCTATAGAAGATTTCGGTACTAGGTTCAATTAAACAATGTGTCGCACACAAAATATATTTTGTGTGAATCCTCGATTACTTTTTTAAGTGAATTTTTCGAAACATTTCTTCTGTTATTCGAAGAAAAATTTGAATTGTTTTCAATTTAATGGACACTAACGTGGAATTGCATTCCAAGTTACAATAATAATAATAATAATAGTAATAGTTGGTCAGAATGTAGTCAAAGTGTTTCAGCTTAGAAAACATTGGTTTTTCTCATTCTCTCAAAAGCAAGATATAAGAAGGAAATGTCGTCGCTCATAGTCCGTAACAACAACGATTACAAACGTAATCGCGTACTAATCACGTACTTTTCTAATTAATAATCTTGGCCAGCAGAAGTTTTCTTTGTTTCGTTCATTAAGGCAGTTCTATAGCTTGTTGTTGCCTTTCATTTTCTTTCTAATCACCTTTCATTAGGTTAGTAATTGTTGACGTTAAAGCAAATAAGTGAAGTTGCCTTCGTCGGTATATCTTTACGTTTTATTATTTTTTCTGCTGTTCTCTTTTTTTTTGCATTATGAAAATTTTTGTGCTGACTGCTGTGTTAATCTAATGACATGATTTCTTTTGAAAGTTTAATAAAAAATAAATGAAAAAAAAAAAGAAAAGAGAAAATGTAAAATAAAACTGAGTAAAGCAAAATTTAAATGAACGACCGGCCGACTGCTGACAACGAGCAGACAAGTGCAGGTACAGGTTCACTTGGCACAAATTTTTCAAGGCGGTTTTATCTTTCGCAAAAGCCAGAGTTCTCTTACCGTTCGCTCATGGCATGCGTGCCGTCTATTCACCCAACTTTCACTGTCATCATTATGTGCCAATCTGTGCATTAATGAACGGAAGTCTCTGCACATGTATGTGTATGTGTATGGATTAGATGTTTATGAATTTTATTAACATATAAATAATTTATATCCAGATTAAAATTAATTAACAATATTCAACTTCTACATACATACCTGTCTTAACGACCTCATACCGTTAAAAATATTTAGGCCGCAGCTCTCTTTTTTCAAGTTTTTGAGGGAATAAGTTTTTCTTTTGAATGATTAAAAAGCAAAGAATGGGTTTCCTTTAATAAATTATTTTATTTTAATCTTCTTTACTTTTCGAATATGTTTTTTTTTTTTTTTTTTTTAATTTTTTTTTAATTTTTTTTTTAAAATGCTTTGTAATTTCAGAAATAATAAAAAATTGTACAAAAGGAAATAAATAATCATTTCACTAATACAACATAAATGTGTTCATGTCGAGGTGTATATATATATATGTGTGTGTATGCATGTGTGTGTGTGTGTGTGTGTGTGTGTGTATGTATGTATGAATTAAATAAATAAATAATACATAAATTTATACAATTATTTTAAAACAAATATCTGTCTTTCCGTAAATGATGGTGAATGGATGTGATCTTGTTGTCAGTGATCGATTCAAGAAAGAGAAAGAAAGAGAGAGAGACAGAGAGCGATAGAGAGAGAGAGAGAGAGAGAGCGAGAAAGAGAATAAAAAAATCAAAAAGATAATTCAAGTAAGAAGACGAAAGAAAAGAAGAGACATGAGTAAGAAATGTACGCGAGAGAAAGAATGACAAGAACTAGAGATATAAAGAGAATGTAAACATTAAAAAAACTAGAGGGAGAGAGAGAGAGAAAAAAAAAGTATCTTTATATGCTGCAAAGATAGAGAGCGAAAGCAGTTCGCTTAAGTTAGTGATGTATTTATAAATTGCTTGAAGAAAGAGACAGAAAAAGAGAGAATGAAAACTGTTAATAAAAAGTGCGGAGAAGAAGAAGATTAAGAATTTAAAGATCTAAAGTTATTCCTTTCAATTGAAATGAAGCAGAATGGGTTCAGAACCGAAAGCGATGAAATGAAATTGAAAGACTCGTTAGGAATGGAAGTATAAAATTCGACAAGAATAAGCTAGAATAGAAAGTAAAAGGTATGAAGGTATGAAACGGGAGAGGTGGTATACCTTAAATATTTAATTTTCCTTTTCCTTCTGTGACATTTTTCTCTTTTTGTTTTTTATTTTATTTGTTTTTTTCTTTTTTTTTTTTGGTATTGAAAACTCTATGGCAAGTCATGGCTTTTACAATTTTGACAGCTAATGCACGTTGAGATGAGTTCAAGGAGAAAAGATATAGAGAGCAGCGTTAGATATTCCGCAAGAGAAAGAGAGGAGTAATAAGCAAGCAATAAAAGAGCAAAAGAGAAAGTTAAAGAGAATAGATTAAATTGAGTATTATTAAAATGTTAAATAAATATTGCTATATTTAAGACTAGAATTGATAAAAAAAAAAAAACAGTTAAAAAGATTTGTACATAGTTTTAAGTAAAATGTAAAAAAGATTAAAATATAGATGAAATTATAAGTCAAGATAGCTGAAAAGAAGAAAAAGAGGAAGAAGAAGCGCAAAGAATGACAAAAGGAGACGTAGTAATAAAAATAGTAGAAAAGTAATTAAGAAGAAAGGCGTAGAACACAAGTAGAAATAAGAAAAAGTGGAAGTGAAAGTGAATGTTAAAGGAAAAAAAAACAGAATAGACGAAGAAGTTGTAGTGTAAATCGGCTAGAATTAGAGAGAATGATATAAAGGAAAAGTGTGTGCTTATAAGAGAGAGAGAGAGAGAGAGAGAGAGAGAAACAGAGAGACAGAGAAACAGAGAGAGAGAGAGAGAGAGAATGAGAGAGAGAGAGAATAAGAATGAGAAAAAGAGAAATAGAAATAGAAAAAGAAATAGATAGCCAGCTATTAAAGAAGAAATTTGAGAGTAAAAGCAATTATTATCAAATTAACATAAGAAATTGAGAAAGACGGAAATATAAAATTACCGCAGAATCATATTTCATGTCTCCCGATTGCTAAGTATTGAGTATTTTCTTATGATTTGTGCAGAGCATGAGGTACCGACTTTGTCTCTCAATGTTTGCGGTTCCGCTCGTTTGAGAGTTTAACACTTAAAGTCTTCTTTTCGATATGTACGATAAACGTAAGGCTGGATGAATAAGATTATTTATGATATAATAAAAATAATTCACAGAATAAACGGTAACGATTACTGTAAGTGATGTGTATATGTATATGTTTTTACGTTATGCGTGACTATTCACCTAAGTTGTGCGTATTTTTCTTATTCATTCTTCTTCTTTTTATTTTATTTTTGCTTTTTTTTTTTTTAGTTTTTAGACCTTTCATCGGTCGGTATGATGCCTTTAGTAGTGAAAAAAAGAGAAAATTTATATAAATTAAATAATAAATAAAAAATAAATATTACGCAATAAATTAAATAAATAATAATAAAATTAGTTGTAATTATAAAAAAAAATCTGAGAGAAAAACAGTGAAGACTCAAAAAGTCTGAAAATAACACGGACTTTTTGCTCTTCTTCTTCTTCTTCTTCTTTATCGTTCGATCATTTTCATATCAGTCGTTACTTTCGTTGTTCTAATAAGACGTGCGCGCGCGTTTCATTTTAGGTATGAGTGGGTGAGCTAGTGCGTGAGTTAATGCGTTTAATGCGTAAGCCTTCAACTAAGTAATTTGCTTAAACTTTGGGTTTCTGGGCACCATATGCCATATCTTGGGCGTCCAAAGAACGGCCCCAACTTCCGTGACCTGAACTGCCATACGAACCCGAGGAACCTACATCGGCGCTATACCCGCTGCCATATGAATCGTGACTTATACTGTGACTGGAACTGTGATGTGGATGAGCTACCACTTCGTAGGTGACATGTTTCTCTTGCGATAAAAGTTTCTTGAGCCCTATTACAGCAGACAGCACCAATGCTATTTTGCCGATTAGAAGAGCCTTACCAGCTATTAAGGCTATGGCACCCAACATTAAAGGTACGAGAGCAGCCGCCTTTAAAGCGATTAACGCCAGTATAGGTCCAAGAATTTTAGCAGCTTTTTTTTTCTTGCCTCGACTTTCCTCTGTAAGGTTAGTATCATCACTGCCGAATAAAGATTCGGAGACATCTTCCAAGGCTCGACCAGTCGAACTAACCGCTTGCACTATATCGGATCCCTTTAGTTCCACCTTAATCGTGTGCGTATTCAAAAAGCCTGAAATACGGTTTAGAGCAAGCGATTCGAATGTTTCATCTCCGGAAATGGCCCGGCCGTAGTCATTAGCTGGCGCATCTGGTGTACGTACGACTGTTACACCCTCGGTTAGGGCGAATTGTTCGCGCGCCCCTAAAACCTTATCCACAAAATTAAAAAGTTTGTATTTGACACACGATACTGAATCTTTGCGCAGGCAATCGCTGTAAATGCTATCCATAATATCGTTATCGGCTACTACGGCATTGCGGGCGTGAGAACGGGTTTCTTCAGCTGGTAGGGCGGCCGTTAGTGTTATCAAACACACAACACTAATTACAGTTACTCTGTTAGCCATATTATTATTTTTAATTTTTGGTTTCGATTTTATTGTGCTTTCACACACAATTTAAACGAATTGTTACACACCTTCAACGACCTTCAATAATAAATAATGTCCTTTTTTAAAATTAATTTCAGATAAAATATTTTTTAATTTTTTATTTATTTTTTCTTTTTTTTTGTATTATTTTTTAATTTTAAGTAAACTCATTTAAGTAAAAAGAGTGACAAACGTTTACTTTCTCTATGTTAAACCGTCATTCAAATAGAAATTGAAATCGACACAACTCAAGAAAACATTTAAAGCAAGACGACACACGGTTAAACACACCGTTATTTTCTTTTTTCTTTTTTTTTTTTATAACGGAAACGTTTGTGTTGGCTTTTGTACAAGTAAGGATGGAATGATACAATTTCCCAACGGTTCCATCGATTTATATAGTATCGTGTCTTTTGCTCGCACTTTACATACAATGACAACTGTATGTACTATGGTAAAATGCAGCAAGTGCTGCGTGAATATGTGTGGCAGAGCTGTTGTAAGCTAAACGTATCTTTCTTTTCTTTCTGTTTCTTTGTTTTTTTTTTTTTTTTTTTTTTTTTTTTTTTATATATTAAATTTCTTTAATATCAACGCAAGTCATTCATAAAACTCTCAACTCTTACTGTTGCCTTTGCGCTTTTTCCAACTTGCTAAGCAAGTTTGCAGCTTAAATCTTTCGTTTCGTCTATGTGACTTAACCTTACTCAGGTGCTCGCACACATAGCTAGCAGTACGGTTTTTAGTACACATTTACACAATTTTGTTGCAAAATCTTCATAAACCCGTTTCAAGTAAAACTATCTTTCAAGTTTATTAACATTTTTTGGAGCACGCTCTCTTGTTTTCTCTTTTTTTGGTTATTTCGATTGGCCTTCACTGACTGATAACCCTAACTTAATATTTAACAGTAGAGTTTGGCTTTCGCTCGAAAATTTTCATTTCTTTTTTTGTTTTGTTTTTTGTTTTTTTTTTTTTTTTAATATATGATTTTTTTGGTTTCTTTCTCATATCCCATCGCCGTGATTGCAACAGCGGCAAGTTCATGTAATACTATTAACTTTCAATACGTTGATAGTAGTAGTAGTAGTAGTAGTAGTAGTAGTAGTAGTAGCCGTAGTAGTCGTAGTAGTAGTCGTAGTAGTAATCGTAGTATTAGTTGGTAATGATAAAAAACATTAGGTAGATATTGTAATCTTTCTCACTCGCTTTGACAAATGTTGTCGCACTACTGTTTTTATTAACAAACAAAAAAGAAAAAATTGTTGAGACTTTTTCTTTTTCGCATTTTCTTTAAATACCATTTCTTACTAGCTATGTAAGACTTGCCTTTTATTAGTTTAACGTTTTTTAGAAAAACTAACGAATAGATTTTGCGGACAATGGTTTTATGGTCAATTGCTTCAGTTAAATAAAAATGTTTTTTACTTCGGCGCGGCTTGCGGTCCCCGCGTTGCTTTCATGTTTTTCCTCCTTGTTTACTTTTTGCTTGCAAAAATTCCTTTTACTTTTCATAACCAAGTGCATTACACATCATTCCTACGATGTAGTGTAAATTTTTTCAAAATTTTTCTAAATTTCGCACATTTTGTGGAGAATTTCGGGTAATCGCTTGATATTGCGAATAATTTCGGCTAAATCTCAGAACATATTCATATGCAAACTGATTACGGCTTGGCAGTTTCAGTTTTTAGATAGGCGATACTACTCCTATTAAAGTACTTTTGACAGTTGTCTTCAAATTATTGCGACTTCTCCAAGCCCTCGTAGCAATCGCGCTTTCATCGGCGCTTATCGAGGAGTTCTTTAAATTTCCTTTCAATTTTTCTATTTATCTGGCCTTAGTCGAAGCAGCTTCAACAAATCCGACTTGTCCCTATCTGCTGAATATAGTGCGTTAAGGAGCGTTCGAACTATAGTGCATTTATATGCGATGGTCGTGGCCTTCTTTCTTGCCTTACCAATACAGAAGCCTTTATTCTACGGCTATTCTTCCAGTCCCTCTTCAACTATCAAAACTATTATATAACAAGTGATACAATGCAGTTTTTTGATTTTCAACAACTGGGCCAATTGGCAAGGCCTTCCGCTCCTCTTCATGGCAACATTTGCAGGCTAAACAACGTCTAGCCTCTCATAGCTTTTACAGCCACGATACCAAAGACAATCGCAAATCTCTTTTACTGCTTTGTTTTTACCTTGAAATCTTTCCTATCATGCATAAAAGGAAACGTAATTAAAGTTGAAAGAAAAAGCGGGCATTGAGTGTCAATACTTCAGTCAGAAAACATGCCTTAATAAAGAATCAGGGGAAATCAATCGAACCATTTGAAGCCGAAACATTAAAATTAATTTCTTTCGAGTTCGAAGAAGAAGGGCAAGGGAACATAAGACACAGCACGTCACAGTACAACGCCGTGTGTGTCTTTCCGACCGCAAAAGTCAGAAGCCGGGTACAGGATATTTTGTATAGGCCTCATATATGAGTGTTGGAAAGTAACGATTGGTTTTTGTTGGCCTCAAGATTATTATGAAACTGTCAAGTATGCAATGCATTTATCTCATAAGTTAATGACAGTTATTTGAAGAGATTTCTATTGCAAATTCATTTGCAAAGGAATTTCTATAGAATTTCGTCAATTTTGTGTTAAAGAAAGTATTGATCAACTAACGTAATGATTTTCGTAGACTATAGAAGACTTGAGGAGAGACCAAGATGGCGAAGGCTTATAACGCATTTGAATCTTAGAAGGCAGTGCAACCTGTTCTATTACTGTACCGATTACCGATTATTTTTAAGAAACTTGAACCTCAGCAGGTTTAACTCAAGTTTAGTATATCATGGCAATGTGCAATGGAAACAGATAAGAATGCCATAAGTGGGCTAGTCATGTGCAATTAGAAGTTGGCTGCAGCGATTTCATCCTCCATGTACAGATGTCTTTTTTTTGCATAATTTTAAGGGATCTTAGCTTTTTGTTCTATAGCAGCTATCATTAATGTAGTTGTGGATTGCAATGCACATACATGCGTAGTATAGTGAAGTATATCAGTTTTGAAATTTTCTATAAAAATTGAAAACATTCTATCTGCATATATATATCTTATTTCATGTCATTTGTAAAGCAGTGAATTAAAAGTTCAAGGACTTTGCACATTTCTCGTTCCAAAATGTTGTTGCGCTCTTTTAATGAATAACAATTCATTAAAATTAAAAAATAATTTAATAAAGTTTTTTAGGAAAAATATATTATTGCTAATGTCCCGCACTCTGAAAGTTCGCATTGCATCGTGTGCCGTAAGCGTAACTTTGTATGTCTTATACGACGACACCACTCAGAGATGAATGGGTTGCTATTGCTATAACAGCATAGCGTATTCATCTTAGCTTACTGCTGTAAGTTTCCAATGATACCGAAATTAATGCAAAAAACATCCGTCAGACACGTATACAATAACATAATATAAACGTCATTAAGCAAACAACTGCAGGGATGGTGTACATCGACGTCATAATTTTCAATTTGAGCTCTCGGGAATAAGAAGAAAGAATTTAAAATCCACTTGCGTTCTTGTGTGTGTGCCATGTGATTTGCATACAACATACCCACGCCCAACGATTCCGCTGAATAAGACATATTGCTATGCCTTTCATGCATTGCTACGCTATGCTCGTTAATTCGTTTCGAATAACTTACTATCTCTTGCATAAAGTGCATGCTGGCGACAACGTATGCAATTAGTTAGCTTGACAAATATGCTTTAAATTCATCGTGAAGATGCTCTGTCGATAGCGATCACTTCCCTTCTTGATACGGTGAAGGTAGTTAGTTAAGAATATACTTAACCCAGATTTCAGGTTGGACGCGGACCGCTGCTAGCATTTTCACAATGTGAAATGTCAAAACAACTTAGAATAATTGTCGTCATATAATTCCCTTGGTGCTCTTCTTCTGTAGACGAAAGGAGTTGAGTGCATTTTCTTGCTTCTGTATGCTTAGTAACTGTTTTCGGATATTGCTAATCTATTTTCTTTCCTTCCATTCCCTTTTAGGCCGCCAGACTGGTAATGTGAATATAATATCCATTCGATGGAATATTGGCAGATGCGACAGACGCAGAATTTCAAAACAGGTAAATGATCCCAAATTTTATTCTTAAAGAAAGCCCTAAACAGTGCAGTGCGTAAGCTTGCCGCCCACTTAAATATCGTCAGGATTACGCGACCACGGAATACCTTTTAAAATAATTGAATGACTCACTTTACTGAATCCGTCGATTTCAGTTGGAGTCCTCTAGATTTTGAAATTTTTTTAAGAAAAAATAATGTGTGCATGAGCTGCCAGATAACTGTTCTGCTTTACATAAACAAAACAAAAAAAAACAAATATTTTAACGGAATTAATCATTCTAAACATTTTGTTTTCTAATGAATGAAATTAATTATGCGACTTATTTTTTTCGTATTTTTTCGTAAAGTGATGAGCTGCCTGTGTGGTTGTTAAAAACAAACAAACAAACTGGCAGCTGTGTCGCTTTTGGTGCCAACAGACTCAATCGTGTCTAACATACCAGAAAGCTATGGTTGAACGCCTTGGCATCAGGCACACGCATTAATATTAATTTTTTTTCTTTTTTTTTTTATGTTTTAATCTGTCTTTTTTTTTTGTTTTTACATTTCTCCGCTAACCTGTTGGCTTAGATTTTATTTCAATTTCAATTTCATTATTGCGTTTTGAATAAAACCTCTTTGCCATTGCTGCTGAGTACATATGAATATTTTTCATTTTGTGTTGCGCTATAAACGTGTTTATAAGTTGATTGTGTTTTCTTTTGAATTTTAATTTATTTTTTAATAAAGAAAATAAAAAAAAAAAAAAAAAAAAAGAAGGAGATTTTTGCAAAACTTTTCTTGTCATTGGCATTTAACTCGAAAACAAACAAAATTAATTTTTTTAATATTTATTACCTCCGTTGGCGTACAAAGTGAAATTTGTTTGTTTCTTTATTAATTACAATTACAATTATACAGTTATAGTTAATTAAGTCAGTTTTATGCTTTGTCAACTTGAATAAGTTTATCTTTGATGATAATAAGGAGAATTGCAGAGAATATGTTTATATATGTATCACAGAGGGATATGCACCACCACCATCAGCTCTCTGTACTAGACATAGAAATAGTATGTGTGCATATATCCACTTTTAAACGATTTATGCTCCTATGTCTTTGCCCGTTTGTTGTTTGCAAACATCACTTTAAGCTTTCATACAATGCAAGTCATGTTAAACTTAATCTTTTCAGGCAAACAGACAGAGAGAGGGAGGGAGAGAGAGAGAGGGAGGTTTAAAATAAATACAATTAATAATGATATAA